AGTTCTGTGCTCGGGATCCTGGCCCTCAGGTTAGTGGTTTTTATCTGGACTTCAGGGTGGTTGCAGAGGCAGGCCACATCCTTTGGGTAGGGGGTTTACCTATGGGGGTGCCAATACATTCCTTAATGTTTCTTGTAAGCTACTTTGAGCGCTCTGCCATTTGCAATTGAGAGTACCGGCTGATTGAGACATTGGTACCCAGAAGTAGAGTGCTAGGGATGAAAGATCCTAAAATGTGAACTGTTGTGTCAAGTGGGGGTAGGAGGCAGTGAGGCTCCCTCCATCCCTGGGTGGGAAGTGGGCAGTCTTTATGATATGGTAATGAAGCAGCTCATTACGATATTATTGTGGCTTCTTTGGGATTCAGACCTGTACCTACTTGGTGGAAGATTCAGGGAACCCAGCAGAACAAAGTTAGGCCGCTCTGGTGTGAGAGGCAGTATCATATGGTGGTTTAAGAGCAAAGACTCTGAAATTAGACTACCTGGGTTTAAAGACTGCTATCTTCTAGCTGTGTGACCTAGGGCAAGTTACTTAATCACAATTAAGCTTCCTCATTAGGGAAATGGGAATTAAAATAGTACCTAACTAACTGGATTATTGTGAGGATTAAAGGATTTAATATATATAAAGCACTTAGAATAGGCCTGGCACTTAGAAAGCATATGGACAGGTTAACTCCTGCTGTGTTGGTTACTTCTTGTGGCTTCTGCCAAGATCCTACTAGAAAGAGATAAGCCTTGGTCTTAGATGGCTGGGAACAGCATACAGCTTTGTTAAGGAGATCATGCTCCTCACTGCTCTCATGCCCCATCTCAGCAGACAGCAGCAATCCAAGACTGCTTAAGGTTTGGAATTACAAAACCAAATTCCCTGCTCAGGCTAAAGTTGGTCTGAGCAATAGTAAGGGCAAGGCAAAGAGAATAGACAAAAGACAGGGACCTGGAAGGAGCCAGAAATGAGACTTTACATCCCACAGCGGGAACAGGTAAGGTGTTTCCATACAGTGACAGAGAATAGACCAGTGGCTGCCTAGAGAAGGGGTGGAGGAGGGGTGGATTTCAAAGGGTCACCCCTTTTGGGGGCGATGGAAATGTTTACCTTGATTATGGTGATTATTTCACAGGTGTATATATTTGACAAACTCATCAAATTGTATACTTTAAATATGTGCAGTTTCTTGTACTCAAATTATACTTTAGTAAAGGTAAAAACAAGCAAGAGCAAGAGGTAGAAGCAGCAATATCTTTTGTGACATGCCCTTGGGATTCACACACTCATCGTTTCTGCAGCATTCTATTGGTTACAAAGAACAACCCTGATACAACATGGGAGGAAAATACATGGTGGTTTGCACACAAGTGGTGAGGATTGTTGGATCCATCCTAGATTTCTGGCCCATCTCTCTATGTAGAGAGAATAGTATGTACAAGGCCTTGAGGTGGGCTGGCATTCCAGAAAGACTTAACTGATTAAGTCTACTCACCTCTGCTGAAAAGTGGACTGTTACCTGGTGCTTTTTTTTTTTTTTTTTTTTTTTTTTTTTTTTTTTTTTTTT